GAGATCCCGATCTCGGTGATGGTGGTAATCTTCTGGCTTCCAGGGTGGCCAAGATATTACCACCAACCCCGAAATCTAGGATCATCTTCCCCCTGTGGAGGCAACCCCCTGTTTTGGTGTTGGTGCCCATTCCCAGGCCTCCAACCCTCGGCCCCCTAATTCGTGATCTAGAACCCGTGCCTCGCCGTGAAGGGCGCATGTGCCCAGCCGTGCTGGAACTGCAGCCGCCTGAGCGCCGCCCACGGTCTGCTTAGGATGGTACTCCCACCTGTAGTGTCGTCGCCTTGTCCAGTGCGGCGCGCTGGATGGAGGTCTGCTTCCCGTCCCCATCGATTGGCGGCCTTTCTGGTGCTCGCCGTGCTCCAGCTCGTGATGTTCACCGGCAAGATGTGGCTGCTGCACTCTCTGCGACGAGGGAGATCCACTGTCTTGGCCTGGTCGCCTGTGCTGTCCGGTGGTGTCAGGGCGCCCCTGCAGTCGGTACTCTCTGCCGCGGCGGACGTTGGGCTGCGGTGAGCGGTGCGTGCCGCAGGGGTCTTAGTCCCTCCGGATGTGCTCGAGCTGCGTCCTATTGGCGACTCGTTGCCCCCACAGTCGGTACCCTCTGCCGAGCCTCCTCCATGGCTGCGGTGAGCAGTGTGTTCTGAGGGGGCGGTAGTTGCCTGGCGCACGCTTGGCCTCCGTCTCACGTTGGTGGTGGTGGTCCTTGCCGTTGAGGGTCGTTGATCCCCCTTTTCCGGGCCCCTTGCGCCGGTGCTGACTGTTGAGCGACCATGTCCATGCCAGAAAGCGCCTTCGAGCGGGATTGCCTCGTCTCCATGCACGTGCCCGCAGCCAGTTGCTCCGTCGTCAGCCTCGCGGAGGCCAGGACTTGGTCGAACCTTGCGTCCTGGAACATCTCGATGACGTAGGGCTCGCACCAGTGGCTCCCTCCACTCGTCCTCCGAGTCGGACTTCTCTCCGAGGCCGATGTCCTGGATCCACCTCCTGGCTCATCTTGACAAGTGCATCTGGATCACTGGGGCAGGGCTCCTGTTGGACGGCTTGAGCCCGAGACGAGGCACAGAAGTCGACGCCACTGTGTGGTTCTTTGCGGGGGGCTGCGGCGGCCTCGCAATCAGCCAGCGCCTCCTCGCCAGCATCTCGTCGACGTGGTCTTGTAGCTCAGCTTTGAACCCTTCGGTAAGGGGATAAAAAAGTGGACGACCCCCCTCGTTGTCGATGCCATGTTCGTCCCCCCCTTCCCCCCGACTCAAAGTTGGGCTCCGGCGTGGTGGTGGCCCCGGGGGGTCCACATTTTTTGTCCTTTTAAGCCTGTTCTCTTGAATGTCTGGGAACAACTTAAATTGTGAGGGGAGGGGAGGGGGCCGAGTCAAGGGTTTCACTTTTTTGTCCATCTACGGTTCCGAGTCTGTTCTCGCTAGCTCCTGGAAGGCTACTCCCAGGCGTCTGCGGCCGCCGGCTCCAGGCCGACACGCCTGCTCGTAGATGTCCCGTGCCAGCTGGAGTCTTCTGTCCAAGTCTGTGCCTGACTCGAAGAGGTCGTCGAATATATCCTTAAGTCGGGCCTGTCCCTCCACAGGAGGAAAATTCAAAACTAGTCAAATGTCAGCCAGCGTTGACTCCAAATAGATAGGACAGGAGGAGGACGAGAGGAGGATGGGAGGAGGACGAAAGGAGGACGGGAGCAGGATGGGAGGAGGACGGGAGTAGTAAAATCAAGCAAGCGCAAGCATGCAAGCGGAAGCAAGCAAGCGCAAGCGAGCAATAACAAGCAAGCAAGAGCCAGCGATCAAGCGCAAGCAAGCAAGGGCAAGCAAGAGCAAGCAAGAGCAAGCAAGCGAGAGAAAATAAGGGGGGTGCCATTGGAAAAAGAGGGGGGGATAGGCGTGCCACTGGACAAAAGAGGGGGGGGGGTCCCAAAGACCAATTACTGAGAATGAGTCAGGACTCCTACTCCTATAGGGCAAGCCTATTTGGAGAAAAATAGTCAGGGGACGATTTGTTTGAGCATTTTGTATCAATTTTTGTTTCACCTGTTTTATTTATCGTCCAGAATCCTCCTGTAGGAGGACAGGCCCGACTTAAAGATATCCAGGCGGGCGAGCTAGTTGAGGACGTAGGGGGCGCATCACCTCCGCCGTTCGTCGCCGTCCCAGCCCACGCGGCTGGTCGAGAGGATGCTGGGCTTCACCAGCCAGCTTCTGGTCCAAGTCGTGGAGTGGCCTGGTGACCCTTTGCGCGCCCGACCGGGTCCGTCTGGTCGGTCTTCGGGTGGAGACGGGTGCCCATCCTCCATGCATTTCGCCCACCTGATACCTCTTCTCGTCCTCGTAGTCGTCGCACTTGTCGTAGTTGGCATAGTCGCCGATGGTCGTAGCCTGATCGGACCTTGGCAAGCCACCTTTGCCGCTGTGCTTCGTAGCCGCCCGTGGGACTGGACCGTCCCCTCCGCGCAGGTGCAACCTGCCAGACGGTGCATCCTTGGCGACGGGTGCTT